ATGAGCAGTTCACAGTGCGGATTCTGTCTCTAGTCTCTTAGACTGGGCACATTTTAAATATTAGTATGAGGAGACAAAGCTGACACACAAAAGTAAGTGACTACCTTTACTGTCTCACTGAGAAAGCCTAAGGATTAAGTCCTGCCCAGGGTGCCTGAAATCCCAGTGATAGATTCATTTCTCCAATTTCAAAAATTTTAATATTTTCAGGACAGCTTGTGTAAACTGCAAATACTCTCTTCTGCTTACCCTTAGGATTTTCTATATATACTACTGTGGTACTTACTATATGTTCTCATATTGCATGATATATTACAATTAATTTTGTTTCTGTGCCCCCATAAAACTGTAAGCCATTTGCATAGGAATGGTATTCCAGTCCTTATATCTTAGTGTCTAGGGTGGCAAATGATGACACTGATCTAAATACATAGTTGTTGAGCTGATAAAAATAAAATATAGGTGGACAGGTAACTATTAACTTCTAATGTATTTACTTTTTTTTTTCTTTTGGTATCCTCTACGCCCAATATGGGGCTCCAACTCACAACTGGGAGATCAAGAGTCACATGCTCTTCTGACTGGGCCACCCAGGCACCCATAGAGTTCTATTCTATGCATTTACTTTAATTGTAATACTAGTAAGTGTCAGAGAACTGAGTCAGTTGCTGCAACAGAAAATCCAAATAACAATGGCTGAAACAACGTGACTAATTTTTCTCCTGTAATGAGAATTCCGTGGGAAGAATATTACTGGTATCCATTTGGAAGTTCAAGGACATATCATGTCTAAAATCTCAGTAATACGCCTGGCCTTTCAAGGTTACAAAGTAGCTGTTCCAGTTCCTGTCATCATGTGTACCTTCCACAAATAAGGAAGAAAGAAAGGGACAGAAGGAAGATAAAGTCACATCCGTATCAAGAAAGCAAAACCTTCCCAGAAATTTCATCTCAGATTTCTGACTATATTTCACTAGACAGAATTATACGAGACTGTTTCTCATAACAAGAAGGATGAGAACATGAAGGGCTTGTGTTTTCTTCTTCTTCTTTGCTAATTTTTTGCCTGCAACGATAGTGGGACTCCGTAAGTAAGAAGGAAAGGAGAATAAATATGAAGTCACAGGCAATCTCTGTCAGAGAGGTACTGATGAGTATGACTGCTAGGAGAGAGTCAATATAAATGAAAATACAAACATAAGAGAGTCAATGTAAACAAAAGCATATGAAAATCAACTGATGGCTGCTTCACCATCCTGCCCACTAATGGCTGACAGGAGTCAGGCATTTTGATTTATACGTTTTGGAGGTATAAGCTTCATGGGAATCCTAATATAGTATCTCTATTTTTCATTCAGCCTCTTCATGGGCTTCATAAATAAAGTTTTCCTGAGCACTTTCTATATATCTAGCACTGTGATACATTGAGTAAAATAACATAATTGCCTTCAAGCTGCCCACTTTGAACTACAACAGAAGTGAGCACAGGGTCATGCAGGGTCCACTGAAGAGGCACCTAACTCAAATGGGGTGTGTGCTTGTGGAGTGGGAATTTAGTCAGAGGACTGCCACAAAAGGAGAAAGTGGAGCTCTCTAAATGGGGTGCAGAAGGATGTTAATGGCATAGAGTATTAGTGCACAAAGGCACACGAAGGCAAACAAAATAAAAAATATTCCAGGATTTGTAAATTTTTTAAGGATGCAAAGCACAGAATTCAAAGGGAAAGGCAATGCTGGTGAGAGAAATTAGAAGAGAGGTAAGCAAGAACCAAAGGGTCTTTTTAGACAATGAGACACTAAATGAATTGAAACTGATACCAGTTTCATGCTTTAGGAAAATCTTCCTGGTCCCACAGTTTACTGGAAACAGACAACACGGGAAAGAGGGAATTCAGTTAAAGAACTATTCCAATTGTTCAAATGAAAAATATGAAGGCCCAGAGGAACTGGGGAAAAAAAAGAGAGAGAGAGAGAGAGAGAGAGAGAGAGAGACTGACTCCATGGACATTAAGCAAGTTGAAGTTAAAAAATACATTTACCAAAAATGCTGTTTGTGTGCATGTGTGCATGGGGGGGGTGGTGGGCAGGCAGGAAAAACAAGTATAGAGTGGGGAAGAAATGAGGGCAGAAAAATAAGACAACTTCTATTTCTTCACTCATTCACCGATTCAATAATGATGATTGAGCCAATTTTCCTAAAGATAGTATATGTTTGGGGTAAGACATAATAGACACACCTGTTCGTAGTCATGTCTAGACATCCGACCCAAGCACAAAATGAGGCAACCTCACCAAGAAAACAGTCATTCTGTCATAGAGAAACCTAACAATGTACTCTTAAATCATGGGTGAACAGCCTACTTCCTAGAGCAAATCTCAAGGACCTAGGGAATAATATAAAACACGAGATATTATTAAGCAAAAAACAGGCCTGATCAACACAATGTTTCCAGAGTGAGTTACTTAAGAACCTTCAAAATGACTTATTAACGAAATGAGAAACTTATTACACTGGCACCTCTGTAGTAATTAAAAAATAAACTCTGATACCTAAAACATCAGATAAAAATTCTTAAACCATAAGGAAAATGATGCAGGCTTCGCAAGGCCAATCCATACTTAAATAGAATAGCAAGGCACCCAGGAATAGATTATGGTCCCAGGTCCAGAGAAAACCAAGCTATGTGGTGAGTTGGAAGCATGCAACAGTTTCTAAAACCAGCATTCTATTATTCTGCCTTTATATTATGCATAAAGGTGCCTTAAGGTTCACTAACCCAATAGTTCTTGTCACTGTTGTTACCAGCTCAACCATACTAATAACAAGGCATCTCTTAATGCACTGCCTGGTTTGGAAAAAAATGTATAGAACAAATAGTGCCCAAAGTAATTCTGGCTTCCAGATGAGAGCAGCATCCATATTAAAGAATCCATCTCTTCTCTTTCAAAAGATTTGTTTCCTCTATGTTTGTGCATTGGAGACTATTTGATCTTAAAGACAATGAAATCAACAAATTAGCAGAAATGAGTATGATTAAAACAAATACACAGTATAGTGTGAGTATAGTATACTTATAGTATAGTATATAGTATATAGTATACATATATGTATATAGTATACAGTATACATGTATATAGTATACATATAGTATAGTATAGTATAAGTCAAAAGATCTCAATTAAAATCTTGGCTTTTGCACTTACCAGGTTTCTTAGCCTCCCTAAGCCTCGTTAATAATACAGAAATAGTTACACTTAATTCACAGAATTATTGTGAGAAATAAATGCTTATGAGGCACCCAGCCCCAAATCTGGCACAAATTAGTTTTAAATAGATACTAACATAAAAGATGGATTAACAACATCTTTCAAGGGTAGTGATTTGTATTTCCCTTTTACAGGAGAAGAGACTGAGGCTCTGAGAGGGCCAGTGACTTGTTCAAGGTCACGATACTAGTAAATATGAGAACCAGGATTCAAATGCAGATCTACTGCGGTAGACAGCAGACTGCTCCGATTTTTTTAATTCTACTTTTTAGAAGATATCCTTTCAAAAAGCCAGGACTTGATGTAAATACTGTGCTGATCTTATGCCTTCAGAATTAAATGAAAGAGGGAGCATACAGAAGAAAATAAAAGCAAAAGCAGTCTACTCCAAACAGTTCAGTACTTAGAACTTAGAACACAGAACCTATAAGAAATGATTAAAACAATCAAGATAATTTATAGCCTGGAGAAGAGACAGTAGGAGGAAATATAATTGCAACCATCCAATTTACAGAAATGTAATTTAGAATATTATGCACACTTTCAGTTTGCAAGGATGGTTTAATTATTCCCCAAAACCTAAAAATTAAATGTAACAAAAAATGACAGTTTTTTGTTGTCGGTTTTGAATAAGAATTTGTGGGGATGGGGGTGATTGCAGGGGATAGATGAGGGAGAGCTCTATTTATAATTCATGGATGAATTACTATATTTACATTTGCAAGTTCCGTAGGTATAGGGGAGCTGCTTGTAAGGGAATATTAAAACCCGAATCACTTTTCACATGATGTAGATTTCAAAAACAAAATGTAATGTCTGGATTTTCATGTTTAATTATTAAAATACCCATGCATTTACCAAAAGGAAACTGTTCATAGCAATTTTCCACTTAACAAAATTATTACCAGCAAAGAATTTGTCTATGCTGTAAAAATTTCTCAGTATATAATTTCACACTTACTAAATGATATATTATTTGCCACTATCTTGATCTGAAGAATTTTACAGATTAGGTATTTCCAAATTCTACTTTTAAGCTGACCACTGGCTCCAGATATAACCTTTTATTAGGGCAAGAAAAAAACTGAATGCGTATTTCTAGATAGTTACACACCATACTGATCAAATCAACCTAGTATTAAAAAAGACCCCTCACCAACTAATAGCAAAGATTTTAAAAAAACAATGTCTAAATTTTTCATAAATATATAATTACACAATCACACCAGGGGGCGCTCTTAACACTGAAATGATGGATGACATATTTTAAAACACATGGTGGTCTCAGTTGGCCAAAATGAGATTTTTTTCTAGGCATGTAGTACTTGCAACAAGTGCTTATCTCTTGAAAATGTTTGCTGCCAACACACACATTTTCTTTTACATCCAAAATGTTTGCGTTGTTAAGACTATCAAGTTAGTCTATCAAGTAAAACATTTTCTGCTGATAGGAAACATCTTATTTTGGAAACATTTGTCTATTTAGACTGGCATCTGTCTCTTATTCTTTCTGTGGTTATGCTGATTCTCAAAAGTCAACAGAGTGCTTAAGAGTACATAAAACTTTAAAAATGGTTTCACTGCCCATTTTGTTTTTTGTAAGATTTCTACCAGACCTTCAGCTCCTCCCCACCGCCCCCCACCACACCATAAAAAGGGGGTTATCTAAAACTGACACACACAATGAAATTCTAATCTGAGCAGTATGGGCCTTTTCTATATTTTCTCATTACCTGGTAAGAACTCTGAAGCCCAGATGTTCTCCTCAGAAAATTCAAGATGCAGATTCCTAAAAATATAATTAGAAAATCAGTATGAGGCTTCAAGGAAATAGAAAAAGGCAAAAGGTAAGTTTGGGCTATAAGTCACCATTTACTACACCATCAATAGTAAATATTTTTATACAAATGACATCTGATTGAGGAAACTTTAAGAAATAAAGTCAAAAGAAAAGAATCATAAAGTTTGTGAAAGAAGACATAGCTACCTGTCTTCCTATAGTGGCAGAGAAGGAGTTTGTAAACTTTTCTCAACCCATATAGTTGAGATCACCCCTTTTCTAGGCAGCTGCCTCCATGAGTCGTCATCTACCTGTGTGTAAACTGACACAGGAAAAGTTCTAACCAAAATTAACTGGGTACGAATAGAGAGCAGGCTGCTACCTGGGATGTGAGTTCAAGGCAACAATGGACCTACCTGCTGTTTACACCCTCACACCCTAAATGAAATTCATGAGGATACTAATGTCTCAAATCCTGTTGACAGAAACAAATTTTTCATTCTAGAACAAGAGTAGGGTTTAAAGTAAAATATACCTGGAACAAAAGATGCATTTATTTATTACTTTAGATCAAAGTATACGTGAATGATGGGAAGTCCTACCTATGCAGAAGTAGATTTTAATACAATTTTTGACAATGTGGAAAGGAAGGAAGAAAAAAAGAACACAGGAGGAAAAGAGGTGAGGCTACGGAGGAGAAAACCCTGCAGGAAGAGAATGTTTGCAGTTAGGTGACTACTGTTACCTGCGTTACTCCCTCTTGATCTTTGGAGTGAAACAATTACTGAGAGGTTCACCCAGCCAAATGAAGCCCTGTTTGGTAAGAACACCTGACCTGAAGCAATTTGGCATATGGTAAAGCCACCTGAGTTTCCCTCAATAGCAAAGTTAGAGAGAGTGGTGTTTGGGGTTCCATGTGGTCCATCCTGTTAGAAGCAGGCCCTGAGCCAGTTACTAGAAAACAGAGATAGAGTTTACTCCCCACTAGTACTGGAATGGTTGCCAGAAACCCAAGTGACCTATAATTTAGATAAGGTCCTAATGCCACCTTAAGACAAGGATACTAACCAAAAAATGGCAAATTTGTAACACAGTTTTGATAAACTGGATGTTAGGTATAAGAAAACAGAAACAGTCAAGGATGACACAAAGGTTTTTTAGCTGAGCAACTGAAAGGACAGAGCTGTCATTTAATGGGCCTGGGAAACTGGGAAAAGCAGGTTATTGGAGGAAATAATTATTTTGACTTTGGATATGTGAATTTTGATAGGTCTATCAGACATATCCAGGAGGAGCAATACAAAGCAGTTAGCCAAAGCAGCACAGAGTTTAGAGACGGAGGTCAAGCTCTTAACTACAAAACTGTGGGTTGTCCACTCACTGACTATATCCAAAGCCATGATACACTAGAGGAAGTCAGGAGAGAGGAGAGAGGACGGCCTGGAAGTTGGTAGACTCAGGTGGCTCCATCATCTGTGCCTCCTGGTGGTGCCTGCCCTTGTATGATTTTCATTCCCTAGAGCATGGGCAGTGTATGATTTTCATTCCCTAGAGCGTGGGCAGGACCTATAACTTGTTTCTAATTCAACATATGTGACCGGGTGTATATGAATTACACTGTGATTACACTGTTACAGTATATAAGATTATAGAGCCCAATCTTGTTGTGGAGTTACCCCCTAGCTAGCTTACTTTTGTGAAGCAAGCAGCAATGCTGGGGAACACACTTGGCAGAGAACTGAGGTTGGCCTCTAAAAACCGAGGGAAGCCTCTAGCTGGCACCTTGTAAGGTCTCCAGCCTGCAGCCAACAAGAAAATGAAGCCCTCACTCTTAGAGCCTCAAGGAAATAAATTCTGCCAACGATCTGAGTAAACCTTGAAATAAATCCTTCTCTAGTCAAGCATTCAGATGCTATCTCAAGCACCAGCTGACACCTTGACTGTAGTCTTACAGAAGACCTGCAAGAGCAAGTCTGAGAGACTTCTCACCCAAAGAAACTGTGAGATAATAAATGTGTGTTGTTTTCAACCACTAATTTTGTAGTAATTTGTTATGCACCAAGAGAAAAGGAATGCAAGCCCTGAGTTACTATAACATTTAGAGGCCAGGGAAATATGAAAGAGCCAGGAAAAACAGGCCAGTGAGGCAGGAGGAAAACCAACAGAAAAGCATTTCTCCAAGAGGCTTATCACCAACTTCCTCAGAGAAATCTGAGAGACAGAGCAAAGGGGCAGGTGAAGTCTGCTGACCGGCTGGAGGCTCACAGGTAATTACCATTGAAAGGGGACACAAGAAGCCAGGAGCTACCTCCATTCCAGCCTCTTTCTGAGGAGAAAAGGGTAAGAGGAACTGCTTAATAAATGAAATGCAGTTTTATTAGGCTCCCCAGAAGACCCAATTAATGGCAGAGTTGTGTTACTTCACTGTAAGGCTTTGAAAGTCGGTATTTCAAAACTGGCTAACACTTAATACTAATCAAAATCAGCTCATTTTAATTACTAAGTAGCTCACATAACCTATTTTTAAACTTTACATTGTTATTTGACATGCTTAGATTGGCTTGTAATTTATTTTTTTTAATCAATACAACCAAATCTAATGAGCATGTATTATGCGCAAGGCCCTGAATTAACTAGCTATAACTCAAAGAAGCTGCCCTGACGCTTTCTGTACATGTATAATTTGTATGCAAGCTCATACTATTTATAAAGTACTGTCACAATCAAAGGCTATGTTATGCCCTAATGTGATTAGTATTCAGCTTTTATCTAGATTTATCTATAGTGAGCATCCCATTTTCCTATAATGCTTTGAAAGCAATTTCTTCTCTATTTATTAATTCAAGAAGATGTATTGAGCACTTAGGTACACAGAGGGGCAAACTGGATAAAAAAAAGTGTTCAAAATTCCTATTATATAAGAATACTATCCAAAATGTGTCCCTTTTATGTCCTCAATATACTTTACTTATGTATATGTGTATTTATCTACATTTACTCTGCCTACTATATATACACATACATCGTTTGTACATATGCGTGTGTGTGTGTATATATATATATATATATACACACAGTATGTTTGTATATATACCCTATACATTTATAATATATTTGTCTATATACACTCTGCCTTGCCTAACCCAGCAATACAACTCTGCCTCTTGCACCATCAGCTTTTCCCCAGGTTTTGCTCTGTCATCAAGGCTAAAAGATTAAATCACTATGTTCCTGTCTATTCAACTTAGCAGTCTTCATTGTTCTCAGCAATGTCCTTGGCACTGTGGGGCAAGGGGAAGTATAAGACTAGATCATGGCATGAAGGAGTTTTCAAACTATTTTATTAGCAACAGCTTTCATATTCTTTTTTCTGCCTATCCTCACTTGAAATGTAAGCTTTTCCTTAGGAAAGACTCATACTAGCTTTTTACTAATATACCTTTTAGCGTACAGTATGTGCTCAATAAGCATTATTTGGCTGATTCACTACTTTCCAAAATGATTAAGGCGACTTGCATGAAATAGAAATATACACTTAAACAAGCAAATGTAAATATACTGTTAGATAAACACAAACTAGAGCCAAATAAAAAGGGCCTACATAATGTTTAAGCCATGGTTTTCACTAGGTAATTTGTTTAATAAATTGGAGACAATAATTATTTTTTAAAATATTCATATATGACTATATTTAGAAATTAAATCTAGCTCTGTGCTTTCCCATAGCTATCACAAAGACAGAAATACAGATTTGTGTAATCTTATTTCCAACAAAATGAAGTATTTCATTTTATCAAAACAAAAACAAAAACAAACATTTTTGTCCTGGGTGGTAAATTCTAAGAATTTATTTCAAGTATCATTAAAGCAAAAACCAGAGCACATATCTTCCTTAATGATCCTAAGATGGATAAATTTGAAATTACTAAAATTAAGGTACTAGATTGATAAGACATACAGCTCCTTCCGGAATTTGTACTGTGATTCTACTATCATTCTTTGTGTCATTGATGCATATATCCATCAATAATTTTTTAAGACAATTTGGTGAGCACTTTCAAGACCAGAAAGAAAAGGCTGCTAAATGAACATAAATTTCCTGTACTTTCCAAAATGCACAATGTATTCACACAGTACTGACATTTCACATGAAAAACCTACTCAATATTAATACCTATTTTCCACTTCCCAAAGGGTAAGGCTTTACTTCATTTTAATGTGCAATAGTACATGAAGTTATGTAAGTGAGCAGAACTGTAGTCTGTAAAACACTGAGAAAACGTAAATCAATTACTAACATTGTAAAGAAGTATAGTTATTTACCAGTGTTATATGAGTGAGAACAAACCGTTACTCTACATAGGCCAAATACATAGCCTGCCAATAGTACAGCAAGCTGCTGAAGCCATTATCCCTGATGAATGCCATCTATTAGGCAGCCAGATTTTAAACCATGTGCCCATGCCCCCACAGGACCAGAACTCACTGGACCTGGGATAGGGATCTAATCCAAGGGCAGTGAATCCATTAGGTTGGCTTGTGACAATAGATGAGGGCAGGTCCAGTCACAGAAAAATTACTGGGGCCAATCTATTTCTTTCTCTTTGAATTTGAACTAAAAAATGCCAAGAAAATTAAACAGTGACAGAATTGAAGGTGACAGAGGAAAAAGAAAAAGGTATAGAAGTTATTTAGGAATACAGGTGCAGAGGGCAATAGAGTTGCCATGAAAGGTGTTTTGGCCCATGACAAGATCTAAGATGGTAGGTGGCCTCCAAAGAGCACTGACTGCAGTTCAATACAAATCAAACTGCATTCAAGTAAGAAATCCTTTATCCTTTTTTTTTCAGCTTTACTAAGATATAATTGACATACAACACCGTGTAAGTTAAAGGTATACAAGGTGGTGCGTTCATATACATATGTACTGTAAAATAATTACCACAAAAAAGCCACTTAACACAACTATCACTTCACATAGTTAACATTTTATGTGTGTGTGGTGAGAA